CTGAAGATCAGGAAATCCAAGACAAAACTTTGCATGCCTGCGGTGGTCGGCTGTGGGTTCAGCCCTGAGGGCTCCCTGCCTGGGGCATGGCTGGAGGGGCAGAGGACACCGGTGCTTCGGTCCCACCAGTGCTGGGAGATAGCACTGAGGAGCAGGCGGTGCTGGTGGTGGCAGGAGGCAGCTCAGGCCAGGCAGTTTTGCTGCCTTACCTGTCACCAGTGTTCCCAGGGAAATGCCAAACCTGCCTGTGGGTGAAGGCGAACGTGCCCCTTTGATGTGTTCCTCTAATTTCCAGGAGCTGCCTTTGATTTAGGTAGGACTGTGCTCTACAGCAGCAGGCCCTCCTCATCAAAAGCCCTCTTGTATGAAAATCCCACCCTTAATATATCTGAAAATATTAGCAAGAGGAATAGGAAAATGTTACGTTCCTTCTTACTTAAAAAAAGGCTATTTTCAGATGAGACCTATGAAAGAACAAACCGGGTACAAAAATCCAGGGAAGTGGATGTGTTGTCTGGAGGTGGGATTTGCCCTGTGCCTTGCAGTGGGTGGAGCGATTGCGTTTCTTCAAGTAGCTCATGCATCCTCAGTTTGGAAGAAAGATTGGAGTTACTCTGGCCGTGGAAACCGATGTCACGTGGAAGCACCCCGGGGAGGTTCGGTGCTCTCCTGCGCTGGGTTACTGGCAGAGCTGGTCTGCCCTCAAGCTGCAAACAGGTAATACGTCTTACTACCTGAAAAAAGGGAATTGCTAAGTAACTATGCTTGTGTTTTCCCACCGTGCTCTTTTATGGAAGGGTTTGTTCAAAAGCAGAGATTTCTTTTTCTTTTCCAGGACTCCTCTTGCAGAAATACCAGATATGTCATATCTTGTCTTGCTTACTGTTTTGTGACATCTCTAGGCTTTCTCTAGATGTTGAGCATCAAAATTCTACCCTGAAATTCAAACGGTTTATAAGAATAAACAGAGCCCAGAGCTGTAGATTGCCTGACTGCAGATTACTGCCTTTTCTATCTCTAAAAATTTAATTGCATTCGAAATGTCATCTTCCTTTGAGCACTGAAGTCCTTGGCTTCCACAGGACTTATTTTGCAATAAAGACAAATTTTAAAGTTTCTTCTTGGCGGTAGGAAAGGTTTTGTGGCTCTGGTCCCAGCAGGCAGCTCGGCTGCGCTCTGTGGGCGGCAGCGCTGGTACCCTCGCCCTGCGCTCATCCTCCTGAGCATCAGCAGGGCTTAGCCGAGATGGATTCAGGTAGTAAAATGTGGACTTGCTCCCCTATCCAGGTTGGACCAGAGCTGGCTGAGCCACGCTAGCCCAGCACCTTGCCTGTGGTCCCACCTCTCTGTGTCACCCGGGCATCTCTTCGTGTCCTGCTCTTAGCTGGGAGAACCAGGGAGATCTTTAAGCCACGTGCTGCTCCCGTGGGTCGGTTTGTGAAGCCCTTCCCAGCGCTGTGTGTGTGCTTGTGCCTGTTTGTCGACAAGAGGGGCCAGCCCTTGTTCTGGGAGTTCAAACAAGATAACTGGTAGGGAAAAAGAGAGCCTGCCATCCCCCTGGATAGCAGAGTCTCGGAGAGCACTGGCGGAGTATGATTTGTCGTCTGTGAAAAATGTTTGCGTTTGACAGCTTTTCACAGGAAGCCTGTCAGAGTGATAATTTAATGAGTACAGATTGCTTGCAACACAGCTGTAAAACGTGCTTTTACAGTGCTGTAAAATAAGCAACCGAGGCCTTTGTGTGTTTGCTTTGTTTGAGAACAAGTCAACTTCTAATACAAATGAAAGGTGGTCATTTATTTTACCCAGCAAACAGTCAAGACGTAAGAGAGGAACCTGCCATTTTTCTTCTTCTGGTGGCAAGGTTAATGCTGGGTTACGTTGGTGTTTGCTAATCAGCTTGTTTCTGTGAAGGGGAGAATTAATATCTAATCAGATGTAGGGAGTTACTAGTCAGATTAGCATTTTAGTCATAAAAAGAACTTTTGGGCTTTCCTCTCTTCATTGCAGACGTCTATGCCCGTGCTTTGCACAAAGAAAAGCTTTAATGTTCCTTGCTGTGCCCAAGCTGAATTCTTGAAGGAAACAAACTGAGGATGCAGACTTGTAGTATGCCAACAGCTAGAATAGGTAACTTTTATATATAATACATACACACACACATATATTTATAAAAAATGTGTATATATATAACATACAATCCCTGCTGCTGACCAAGCTAAGAGTGCTAATGCAACTAGTGCATTGCATGGAGGAAGGTGTCAGCTGGTTGCCATGTGTGTCCTGCCCCTGGTCCCCAGTGCCGTGCTCAGCATCCCTCCTCCCCACCTTCCCAGCCTCCTCCCTGCCCCAGGAGCCTCGAGGTGCCAGCGAGGCCGCCCATGGGCCAAGCCAGCGGCGCCAGTCACCAGGGCATCCCATCTGGCGTGGTTTGGGGATGCAGGAGCTGCCTCCGGCCTCCTCCCCTTCTTATTTGGAAAACGGCACTTGAGAACGGGTGTGTTCTGCCTATGCAAATGCCGGCTGGCGCTCAGACCAGAAACGACAGCTTTGCATGTCCGTGGTGCCGCCATCAGCAGCGCTGTCTTGGGGTTTTAGAAGCGGCTGGTTTTGGTGGGAAGTTTTCATTTCCTTTATTTACCTCCCCTTTTGGGCAAGGAAAAGCTGCTGGCTGGAAGGCTGCAGGTGCACAGGTATTTGCTGCTAATTAGGTTGCATTTCTCCCCACCTCCCTCCCCCCCCCCAGGTTAATTAATGAACATACCTGGTTCTAGCCCACATGAAAAATTGCTGAGAGATGAAGTGCTCTAAAGCCTGGATACAGTTTATTCAACTTCCACTTTGGAGTGTAACCAATTAAATGAGTTTGGGCAGTAGAATAAATTGGTTATGATAATATGGATGTATTACTTGAGATAACTTTCCTGGCTTAAAACATTACTTTGGGTTCCTTTAGAATGGTGGTTGGAAGTATTTAATAGATTTCCCATCAATATCATTGCAAAATCTTAAATCTTTTTGAAGAGTTTGCCGATGCATCTGCCAGCTCTTGTGCCTGGCATGAAAGTATTTAAATAAACAACTTATTTGGTGATGCTGAAAGGTCTGAGCAAAGGAAGGAAGTGAGCCTTCAAAATGATTAAGTGAATTAGAAATTAATATACACCAAGCTAATCTCTATAGTATAAACTCAGCAGAAAAAAATCTTCCTGGAGAGGAAATGCCAGTCATGGGAACGAAGGACGTGTCGGGTGTTTGAAATCAATCTCCCCTTCCCTGGATCATTTCTCTTGTGCTCCTAAGAGGCTGCATTATATACAGCCATGTCAGGCCCCGAGCCTCATGACTTTCTTCATCAGGAACTCGAAGAATGTTTCAGTTTTTCCAGAAAATGTTTTCTGTGTTAGGCTTTGTTTGTACTGGAGCACTTTGAAGACGAAAATCTGAACTTCAGCATACTTGTAATACATTTTAACAAGGTTTAAATTCACACTGGGCCAAAATATTCCCCCCTCCCCTCCCTTCTAACAACTTCTGGCTCTAAACATTACTCCTTTGAGGATTAAAAAAACCGCAGAGGCATGTTTTATTAAAAAATATTTATTGAATATGAGTCACAGAAAAGCAGAGGTCAGAGTCCTCAATTGCTGGTGGCATGCATAAAAATAATACGCTCCCTCGCCTGCGCTGTGCGTGGTGGTAGAGGGGCTGAGCCCGCACCCCGGGGTGCCGGTGTCCCCCGCGGGCTTGGAGCAAACGGGCGGCATCCCCGCGTGAGCACCGCCAGCACCTGATGGTTTGTCCTGGTGGCACCTACCCTTGCTCTCCTCAGTCTCCTTCCCAAGGCCACGTAGCATGGAGTTTTGTTCCAAAATGGCCCAAATGCGTTTGGTTTAATGTAACCCTCCCCTATATTTGATTTTAATTTAACTCATCTGCACCAAATCTCCAAGGCAAAGGTTTTGCAGTAGGGTGATCTTTGCTTAGACCCATGTGCTGAGGCTTTGGTGGCCCTGCCTTGCCAGGGGATATTCTTTAAACTGTCCTGGCAGATGCATCCGATGTGCCAGACATGGTCAGGTCAGCTCGTTATCGGCGTCGGAGACGTGTGTGGCACTGCCAAGGTGTGGTGGTGGCACTTTGGCAGCGGCCGCTCTGGCAGCGGGCTCTCTGGTGCTCTGGGAGGGCAAACCGAAGTGGGGATTCGCTTTTAGAAAGTGGTGAAACCCAAGGGCCCCTGTCTGTCCACTTGTCCTCTGAAAAACCTCTTTGTTTAGCCCTTGGATTTTGAACAAATTCTGGCTAAATTGTGGGGGTTTTGTACTGCCTCAAACATCTGAAGCCCTGTCTGCAATCAGGACCAATTAGGTAATTAGAGACAGGCCCTGCCCCAGAGCTGACAAACTTGCAAGACTGGAGAAAGAACCTGCAGGTAGATTTTTGGGTTTGTTTTTAAAATGTATTAAAATCTGTTAATTTTTGAGGCTGGTTTATGAGCATTCCAGAAAATGAATTGACGAAAACTTTAAGGAAAGACCCATTTGCGCAAAGTGTCGTTTAACAACAGCAACAACATTTTGTTTTTCTTTTTGCTTTCTGCTAGTCTTGTGCTTTGAAATTGCTGCTTTTAAGATGGCTGAAGGGTAACATAAGAAACCGACCTTTTTTTTGGTGGGGTTTTTTTGGGTCAGTTTGGTTTTTTTTTTTTGGTTTTGTCTTGCTGACTCACGGTATTCAGGTTTGCATCAAAAGAGATTTCACTCGTGCAAGTCTTTGGATCTGGAGAGAGGCTGGGGGGTTGGTTTATGAAGAGTAATCAAGAATTTTGAGATACATAAATTGTTTGGAAATTTTGAGGGAGTCCTTTAACTTTCCATTTCATTTGGGTGATGGTCTCATTGTGCTGAATTTTCCAGTTAAGCAATGGCAGTGGTTGTAGAAGTGTGTGAACACGCAACCTGGTGCTGGTGTTTACCATGGCTTCTCTTCCTCTTTTCTAGAGTTCTTCAAAGAACTTCTCGAAAACGCCGAGAAGTCGCTGAATGACATGTTCGTGCGTACGTACGGCCGTTTGTACATGCAGAACTCGGAGCTGTTCAAGGACCTCTTTGTGGAGCTGAAGCGGTACTACGTGGGTGGCAACGTCAACCTGGAGGAGATGCTCAATGAGTTCTGGGCGCGCTTGCTGGAGCGCATGTTCCGGCTGGTCAACCCTCAGTACCACTTCACGGACGAGTACCTTGAGTGCGTCAGCAAGTACACCGAGCAGCTGAAGCCCTTTGGGGATGTGCCACGGAAGCTCAAGCTACAAGTGACACGAGCGTTTGTGGCTGCCCGCACATTCGCGCAGGGCCTCGCCGTTGCGAGGGACGTCGTGAGCAAAGTGTCCGCGGTGAGCTCCCTCTCATGATTATTCCCATGTCCCATGGACCCGTGATAGGTAGTGTCTTTCCCTGTTGTCCTGACTAGGTACCTAAAGGCGTTGGTAGCTGAGTGCAGGTGGAACCAAATTCCATCTATGTGGGCTGTGCTGTTGCATGGTAGAGTCACCTTCTGGGGACACCGCCATCCGGTGCTGCAGCCCAGTAGCAGAGATGTTGCCCAGGTTGATGCTGTCCTCCTGTCTAGGGAACAGCAACAAGCAGGAAATTAAGTACCTTCTGCAGTGGAAATAACCATGTTTGCTCATGTAATGGCTGTATCTTCTTCTTAATGTTGCCTTCAAATTACAGCGAGTCATGGGTGCTCCGGACATCTGTTACGGAGCAGCTGATGATTTGCTGCTTGCTCCCAGGCACGGGGAGAGGCTGTTAGCGTGAGCAAACTGCTTGTATGGTCACAGCGAGCCGGAGCCATGTGCGCAGGGCAGGAGCCAGTTGTGCTTGGTGCCTCAAACGCACAACGCGAGTTAGACCTCTATGGTAAAGTTACTTTTTGGGGGGGTCAAACAGATGTGATGTGTTGGTCACTTAAATGTTTACCTCCCTCTTCTTATAAACCACTTCCAAGTGGTTTAAGTGGGGTGACTTTTTTTTTTTGATGTGAGATTTGTCTGTAACTCAGCCTGAGTTGTGTGGTAGAGGGGACAGGTGTAGTCAATAATCCCCATAAAGTGATGGTGTGAGATAACAAATATTAGTGATTTCTTTTCAGCAACCTCAGCTCATTTCCTGTGGGCTATAGAAGAGTTAGTACAATCATTTAATCAGGCAGAGAGAGGTTTACTTTCTCCCTACCTGGTTACGGAGTAATAAAATGCCAGGCTGAAAGGGCAGAGAGTAGTTTGAATCACCCGGAGTGTTGGGGTGACGGGGGAAAGTAGTAAAACAGAAAAGAATAGCTGTTCAGGTACTCTTAGAAGCAGAATGCAATTTTGGAGGCAGCACAAGCAGCGTCGTTAAGTGAGATAATCATTCAAATTGCTTTGACTTACAGGGGTAATATTAAAATACTGTCTCTCTGGAAAGAAAAAAAAAAAAATCTGCTTCGATGTTATTTTTTCTGGAAGAGAAATGAGAAAAACAGCCTGTGATAAGCCTGCATGTGTGCGATAGGGCAGAGAATATTAGTGAGGAACGAGTTGCCATACTAATATATCCAGGCTCCAGGAGCAAGTTGTAAGTTAGCCGTGGCAGGTTTAGGTCCTTGGACACCTTGAGTCCCCATTTAATAGTGATGACTCTGGCGTGAGACATGTCTGCATGCTGCTGGTTGAGGATGGGTGTCGTGAAGCTCCATGGGCGATGTGTAGGGTCCCTCTTACAAGACCACCAAATCCTCCAGCCTTAGGGACACGGTCCTGTGGTGGAAGGAGAAGCGGGAGCAAGGGTCGGTGCTGGATGAGGCCAAGCGTTGTGTCCCCATGTCAGGTCACTGGCCGGGCCTGCCGACCTCTCGGTTGGAGTTTCAAATTTGGTGACTCTTGTTTCTGGCTGTGTAGCGTTGTGGTAGATACTGTGGTCAGAAAGAAAGGGGAAAAGGGTTTTTACTGCTGGAGAGTGCTGATAAAGTACTCGGGTGGGAGGTCCGTCCACTAAGCCCCAGTACGGTTTTCGGGAATGTGCAATCACTTGATAGGCAGTAAACATGCATGGATGAGGGATCGTGTTTATGCTCCATCTGCTCAGAATTCATCAAAATGTCTCCAGACTTGACACGGGACCACGAGGGCTACGGTCCCCGCATCTGTTACGAATCAGAGTCGTGAACCCGAGGTGGCGTTGTGATTTCTCCTTCCCTTTTGAAGATCCTCGAGTGTAGAGTTGCCTTCAACTCTAGAATTAATTGCTCAAGTGTGGAAGGTTACCCCGGGACCCACTCAGCTGCAAAAATAGCTCACACGCCGTGGATGATCACAGTTATTGCGCTTTCCACTTCAGTTTCACAAGTTGCACTGGAAATCCTGCAACAGACTGACTTTTCAAAGCGGTAGGAAAAGTCCCTGCTGCTGAATACCCAAGCTTTAGTTGCAGCAGTGGAAGGAATAATAATCTTTTCTATAGCGTTTTAATCTCATTCAGTGGAAATCTAACATTCTAACATTTCTGCAAGACACAATGTGAAATTCTGTATGCAAGTTTAAAAGCTGATGTTTTTATGCCTGCTGCTTTGCGGTTGCGTTTTGGGGCTTCCCACATTACATATAGATTAGCCTGGCTTTGCTGAGCTCTATGTAATGACTCTATTGACTTTGCTTCCTTATTATTTTTACTCAGGAGTTGTAGTGGGATGACTGCTTATACCAGGGATTAACTTGAGGGATAAATCTTCTATCCTTCTTTATGAAAAAAATGTCCGAAGTAATGCAAATCAGTTTCACTTTTAATGTGTTTTGTAACAAGCAAGTTAAAAATATTTAATTGAAAATCATCAGGAGGGGAAATACAAACTGCTGCAAGACCCAGCTGCTTTTTACTTTCCCGGGGTGCTATCAGGAGAGCAAAGAGCACTTTACAGTAGAACAACCTTGATGGCTTTTTAATGGTTCTCTATACTTCTACATCTTCGCTAGGGAGGTGCGTTTAGAAAGGTATTGTTCTTGGGTGAGTTTGGGAGTAAAGGGGGAAAAGGAGAGAGAATATTGAAATGCTGCAAGTATGCTCGGGTTTCTGAGTGTGTATGAGGAAATAACTTTAATTTGGCATGGGATGGATCAGAAGCCGGGTGCTGCTGCCCAAACACACAATGGAGGGAAAGCACAGACTTTTTTTCAAACTGTGTCTAAACCCCACAGTTTTGATGCTTAAGTCTTCACCTCACAAATTCCCTCCTTTGGACCCCAGAAGTAGAAAATTCTCCAGATCCATCCTGAACAGCAGATCCGAGAAGATCCTGTTTCTGCCTGCTGGAGACATGTCCTGCCTGCATCTGAGGGGTCTGCGAGGGGCTGGGGCCTCCAGCGCTTCCCTCTGCCGCCTGCTGACGCCTGGTGCTTTCTCTCTGACCTTTCTGCCCTCGCTGTCGGCAGACGGAAATCTGCCCATCCCCTAATCGCCCGCTTGCTACTTAGCCCTGGAATCAGCCGGGTTAAATTGCTGCCAGCAGTGACACTTCCTGCCCCAGCCAGGGGTGGAAAAATGGAGCAAATCCAAGTCAGAGCCCTGAGTGACCCAAAAAAGGGTGAGAACCTGCAACTGGGCAGTTCTCAAGCTGCAGAGATGTTCCCTTAATTAGTTACATGCAGTTAAGCGCACAGCCTGGTCAAGGGTCTTGACACCTTTGAGGGCAAAGTGCCCAGGGGCTTGTTGGGTGCAGGCCAACTACAGGTACGGGATGGAGGTCCCTGGTCTGGGAGGAGGAGAAGGTGAAGTCAAGGGCTGAGCCCCCTGACGCTGATTTGTAGGGTCAGGAGGAAGCTGCTTGACACAAAGGCTGGGAGGGGAGGTCTGGCTGGAGGTCAGCAGTGGAGGGGGGACGAAGTGTGCAGCCACATGACATCGAATCCCTGCGTTTGCATCACCATCGTCTCTGCAGAGCTGCAGACGGGGGCCTCCTGCAGTTGCAGGGATAGTGAGAGTTTCCTGCAGCCCTTCAGGAGATTTATGCCAATGAACTGTTGTTTTGGGGTTCTTTTACCAATTTTCCCTCTTGCCCTTGTGTCCAATAGTTTGAGGAACTGCTGGGAGCTCTGGAGGCTCCAAAATCACCTCCCCAACAAGCATTTGCATGCTGAAAGCCACATGAGATGCAGCTGCCACCAAAGCAACTGGGCTGCTGGAAAGGGGCTTCCAGCCCATCCTTGGGAACCCTGGGAAAGGCAGCAGCTTCAAAGTTGTATGCAAGAAATGGTGTTTCATTTGGAAGCACAGATATGATCCATATGAAATAATGCAGTTTCATATGAAGAATAAACCTACCCTCCCCATCTGCTGTCCTCAAGAGACATTAACAGCCGAGAGGAAGCTGCTGGAGATGTTTGCAGTGGGTGGAGGAGGCTCAGCGTCCTTGGTATTGGCATTTCGTCCCTAATGAAGTGTGATGATAGCAGGGAATTTTCTTCAAACTGTTTATGGAAGAGAATTGCAGAGGGGGCAGCTGGAGTGAGAGCCTGGTGGGTTTTTAATCCTCTTTTGCTCTGGGCTGCCTCAGCTCTTAGGAGGCATCCATGGGGCACAAAGTGAAGCGCTGAATGTGCGTAAACCACCCTACAGCTGGCCCGTGTGAGCTCCCTTACCTCCAGCTGCACCTCCTGCACCGTGGCTTCTGCCCTTTTCAGCATGGATGCAGAACGTGGACCAGACATTAGCTGAGGAGAAGCAGTGATGATGACAGTAATAAAACCCAGAATGAGTAAGAATTAAGGCCTGTATCATCAAAAATATTGGGGCACTGAGCTCCTGTTTCAGTAAATGTGCCCCTTGTAATTACCGTTTGAGGATCTAAAAGTTTCATCAGAGAGCAAAGGTCCAATCTCCCTTTGTGTGGTCTTTGCCCTCGGTTTGGACTTAAGGGGGATGTGCCCTTAATCCTTCCTCAGGTAGAAGTTTGTTCCTATATCCAACCGTGCTGGGCACCCAGAGCAAACCCTCCCAGGGAAGCGACAGAAATGAGATGTGTTCCTCGCAGGCACTGAGAGGAGACAGGGGGCAGGTGCTGCTGCTTCGTGGGCAACTGAGAACCAGCCAGAAGAGCCAAGGAGCCCTTTTAGTGTTGCAGAGGGGCTTCTGACGAAGCAATGCTGCCCAGGCAGCAAGTCGCAAGCCGTGGGGCCGGACCGAGGGGCAGCCGTGCACAAGGACGTTGCCTTCCACGTGCCAAGGGCAAACATCAATGCAGAAAACAATACCAAGCACTTCTCCACATCAAAGATGACCCTGAGAAGACCTGCCAAGGATGTGGCTGCATCTGCCTCTGCTCCAGCCATCTGAGGGTCTGCACTAGGCATAGCCTTCA